TACAAAGAGTCCGAGCACAACTACAAATTTTACTTCTGAACGCGTATATCTTATAATTTGACAGCTATGACTAAAGTAACTGGGGCTAAAATCAACAAGATCGCGAAACATGACTGTTCTGATTGTATAGCTGTCAAATTTGAACTTCTTTATTCCTGCCATAACAATTCAATCATATATAATAACCCTGCGATAGTCGCAGTTTTGCTAGAACCCTGTCTGTGGGTCTTGTGCAGACAGCACTTGTGAGTGATAAATGTGATTGTCACAAGAAACCACTGTTTTCCTCGGAACGCATCCACTAAGACAGAGCAAGCGCTCGACAAAAGACGACAGAGTAAACTCAAAAAGGGTAGGGAAGTCCGGAAAAGCGAAGAGACCTAGCATTCGCTATCATTAGCAACACGTTCGTCCAACGAAGAATTCATAACAACAGTTGCGAATCCAGCCAGCACAGGATCTACAGCCTCAGGTTTCCCGGAGCCTGGCCAGTCGACACTCTGAAAGAAGAACATTACAGTCTCTGAAGCTGCACTGGAGAATCACAGCAATGGCTAAAGACAAATCATGCACCCACGTCCGTAGATCATGATCATGATCTCTGGGTGAGGTGAACGAATTCGCAGCCGCAGCAGCATGCCCTTTTCCGCTCAACTGCATGGGAACGAGGTCGAGGGGTAATGGTGCCCAGGTGCCGACTGCATAGTTCGCCTCGTGTCTAATCGTACTCAAACACGCTGCTAGTCTGCCCTCTCCCACTTACTTTGCTCTCCACCGCTGAGTATGTGTTTCGCTGCGGGATCTTGGTAGCTGCGCAAGTGCTACACTTTCAGTTTAGCGCTGGCCGAGTATGGAGCCGACACCAAGTAACAATCATCTCCAGCTCACTTTCCTTGCAGTTTTAAGCGGAGAAAGTGGATCTCTACCGCAGTTGTGACCCATTCCTCGCACATGACAAGGACCGTCCTCATTGGTGAGTACAGAGTTTGTCTTCAAATCGTTAC